GGGGTGGGGCTGCGCTGCAGGCGAGGCCGGGGTCTGGGCCCGCGCTCCTCCCGCCTGAGGGTTAGCCTCAGCCTTGCAGGGGCTTTTGTAAAAACCTTCGCAGCTTCTCCTTGTCCGCCTAAAGGCGTTATTTCTCGATCCTTAAAAAATATACGGAATAGTTCTGCTGTGTGTTGAGAGAAGTGTGAGCGTTGTTGCTCACAAGGATGAAGACAACGCCTTAAAGATTAACAGATGTGGTACCTGTTCAAGAGTGGGTACAGTGAATTTCCTGGTCTGCCGTTTTAAGCATCCTGGGGTTTTTTTTTTGCTTGGCAGCAGTCTGCAAATTTTCTGTTTGTTTTTATATTTATATTATGAATTAGACATTCCTGTTATCTTGTGTACTACTTATTATCAGTTCTCCTGAAATTTTTAATCATATGTTTCTTTTTTCCTTTCTTCCCTGACTTAAAATTGAGAAGATGGTGTGTTTGCAAAGCTAATGCTTCTCTTTCCTGTTTTTTTGATTTAGGTATATCTATAGGCAGAGGGCATTTTTTTTTTATCTGTTGAAAGATTTACTGCGGTTTGTAAACCAATTAGGATAGCCTCAACAGTGAATGTTATTTTTGATAATCACTAAAACGTGAACAGTAATACCTGATTTTAAGGGGCTTCTTGACTATTGGTACTCTGTTGGGTTTTTCTGTTTTGTTGGGGCATTTCATTTTTTAGTGTCAGTAATACAGTAACTGGACAGCATCATTGTGTCAGTTATCCATGCCATCTTGTGTGCTGGAACGTGATCTTAATGAGTTGTGGTACATTGACCCCAAGGAAAGATAGTTATTCCCTAATGATTTTTGTAAACAATTTAGTCATTAGCTTTTGCCAAGATCAGCAGGGTACCCTAAAGTTAACTGAGTTGTGACTGGTTTGTTGTTACCACCACCACAACCAGTGGTCGCACTCTTAGGGGCAAGAGATCCTGAAATGCTGTGCAATTAGCACTGTCAGTCTTGTCACTGAAACCCCCCAGACAGTCGAAGCTGTTCACTTGTATAACTTGTTGATACTCATGAGAAAAATTCATCCGTGAAGCAGGAAAGCTTTTTATTGCTGTGATCCACCAAAAGAGCAGAGGTCAGACTACTTCTCAAAATAGTACTGGTGCTGTCTGTAGGCGAAGTACAACCACCTTAAATCTCTAAGAATGTTAAAGAAACCTTAATGTCTTGAAAAATATATATATGCATTGGCATGAGAGATGGGAGAGACCTGTCTGCGTTTCTAACTGTTTCCTACAGAAACAGAGCAGCACAACAGCTCCCTCCCCACCTACTCCCGTTGTCCTACGCTCTTTGTAGCTTCTTCAACAAGGGAGAGTTTTTGTAAGGAAGCCATTTCTTTCAGCAGTCTACAGTTCATCCTAAGTGGAGCCTAGTAGAAGTGACATTCGGAATGTAGTGGTGATTCTATGAAAGGAGTTACTTTTGAGAGAGAAGCTATTTAATATTTCGGTGAGAGAACAGATGTGGGTAGATCGTGCTTGGCTTCACCCTGTGCTTAGCAATACTCTAGAATTTGCAGTGGAAGAAGCAAGCAGTAATTAGCTTCAAGCTAGCGTTAGCTTAGGAGCCTGGACTCCTGTATGCCCTGAGATTTGGGCTGCTGTGGATTTTGTATCTTATGAAAAAGACTTTTGGGTCCACAGTTCCTTTTAAGGCCAATGAATCTTCTACCGACCCTCGAATCACCTTGCAGTCTACAATGTATGTAGACTGGACCTGTAATTGAATATTCTGTTTAGTGTGATTTCATGGACTAGCTCTAAAGAGCTTCTCATAGCCTTGCAGACTGCTGTTTGGAAAACTGTGCTAAGACAGCAGCCAGTACCCAAGGTCACTTGTGTACATCTTGCTTGTTTCTGTTTCCTCCTTTGTTTGTCACTTTTGTATCTATACTTTCTGGGTCAAATTTCTGGTGGTGCAGATTAGTACCATTTTTTAATAGAGTGAAATTGATTTAAGGTTTTTGTCTTTTTTTTTTGTATTCTGCCATGTTTCCAATGGTGAATGATAAACCCATTTTTGTCCCAATCACTTATTATCTTGATAGTTAGAAGACTGGCGTAGAAGAGGTGTATTCTGCTGCTTATGATTTGGGGAAATAGCAGAAAAATATGAATAGATGGTGTCCCTAGTTTTTCTTTGTCCTGTTTGCTTCCATTTTTTCTTGGAGTTACAATCTTGTTGACCCCCAGTTCAGACTAGCTTCTCTCCCATTGCTCTGTCTTAGTGAATAGCTTTTTGCTGTTAGAGAGCAGTGCAAAGAGCTTTCTTCCCTGGTGGTCTGAATTTGCTGTGCATGGAGGGTCCTGTGCTCTGCTTGGTGTAATGAGGAACTGGTGCTACCTCCAGTTTTTCTTAGGCTGATAATAGGAGCACTTTCCTATCCATTCCCCAATGCATGGTTTTTTTTCTTTTGCTACTGCAGTGGTTTGCCCGTTGCAGCAGCAGAGAAATGTGTTTTTGCTGAAGCGTTTGCTATGTTCCAGGGACACCTTTATCTGTTGGTGTAGCTGAAGAAGCTGAGTATATAGGAATGAAAATGTGATTTGAGTGTGTTCTTTTTTCTTCTTTGTGGATCATTGTTCAGCTGCTATGTTTTCCATGACTTTTTATACAAAACCGGCAAAGATGAAATCTCTGTATATGTTTTTCTAGTGCTGGTTCCTTCCTCAAGCAGAGCTTGGCAGATTTATGACAGATGAGATGCGGACAAGCAGTGACTTGAAACATGATTGAGACAGCTGGCCTCACTGTAGTCACTTCCATGATTTTAGAGTTGTGCCAGACAAGCCTAGAGACTGGCATGGACATGTTTTTGTAGAAATTTAGTAGAATTAATTTTAACTTAGATTATCTACTCTAGATTTGGAATTGGGATTCCAATTATGAGAGCTTATCTATGGCAACTTAAACGCTAAAAAGATTTAGTCATCTACATTTAATTTACTACATGAACTTTGACTTCTATACTAAATAAAGAGATGGTGCTTCAAGATTGTTTTCCTGGCTCATACGCAAGAAGTTATTTACAAGTAGTGGAGTGCTTGCAGTTTCTTCTTCTCTTTGTGTTTTGCTGTCCACTAAATGTACATTGGTAGAAACTGCTGTCACTAAAAACACCTTACCTATTGCACCCAAAGTATAATGCTTTTTGAGGTTGCTGCTCCCATCAATCTGCTCAGTAAAAATAGCTCATCTTGGTAAGTTGTTTCGACTTCACCAGGACCTGAAGAAGAGGCAGAAAAACCTGTGAAAACTAAGACTGTTTCTTCCAGTAATGGAGGAGAAAGTTCGAGTCGCAGCGCAGAGAAACGGGCAGCTAATGAAGAAGCTGAAGACTTCACCACAAAGCCTGCTCCTGCCAAAATGTCCAAGTTTGGATTTTCCATAGGCAGTCAGACAGCAAAGAAGGCATCTGCAATATCCATCAAACTAGCAGCAAATGTAAGTTGTCTGAGGGATTTTAATTTTCAGGAAAGCGAGGCAAGGGGGAAGTGCTTTGGGGAGGCTTCTGTGCAGACAGAAAGCCTTGCATTAAATGTGAGTGACTTGGATAAAGTTTAAGAAAGCATTGCAGGGCCAGCTGGTCAATGCATGTGTAAGTACTTCAAGGTGATTAATACTAGGTCAGTTGTCCCAGGAAGCATAAGACTTGATTGAAATGAACTGTGGATCTTTGAACATACGGAGTAATTTTGTAATGAGAGTTGAGAAGTCTGGAATAATTTCCTGGGGGAAATGAGCAGACTTGTTAAACTGTTCAGGCTACTTTGAAATGAGTGCTGGGAGCTTCACTGCATAAGATGCTGAAAGCTACAAGAAAGCAAGTACTCTCCTAGATGGCTTAATAGGTCATCTTCCACTCCAAAGATCTGATTGTAGCATGGGGAGCTGTAGTTTATTTTTCAATGACTTTGCGTGTTCTGTGCAAGGTCACTATGATTCATTTCTGCTATATGCTTTGTTACATAGGTTCGTAAGAATTCTGGTTGCCTTTATTGCCCAGTACAAGGTGTCCTTGTGCTTGCTCAGATGTGAATCTGATGCTCCTCTTTTCTACCAAAGTACTCCTCTACTAGCTTGGGCAGGGCCGAGCCAGGTGATGCCCCTCTATTTAGTACAGTTTGTTTATGCTTTCTTAGCACTGTGATGGATACATTGTAAATGCTTGTCGGGATTAAACTCAAACTGTAGTCATGAAAGGCTTGCACCTGCAACACCAGTGTTTTACAGATCTGAAAAAGATGAGAAGAGTGCTCTGTTGTTTTGAGATGGGAGGGAGATGTGGGCTGGCAGCATTCTAGGGTACAAATGCAATCAGGTCAGCTCAGACTTTGGGAAAACTGACAAAGCTGTCTTCTCTTGAGCCACTAGCAAGCTGCGATTTCTCATGTGGAAAGATATTTCCAGTGGCAATAAATATGGCTCTGGATTTCTGGCTCACTGAATTTAGCGGGTGACTGTCAGTGCACCACACTGGACAGTGCTGAAACTTACCCTGTTTCTTCTTAGTCATTTTTAGTCCCTTAGTATGTTGGCCGTTCTTGTGGAGCTGGTGCTTTAAAACATGGCACAATATTTATATGTGATACACTGTTGGTGAGGAATAGCTGTAGGCAGTTGCATAAGGACTCTGCTGCAGTGTCAGCTTCAAAACTATGAGTGTATGCAAAATAATCGCCAATGAAGTCAAAATGGAGGAAGCACTGTGTACGATTGCTGGAGATAATGGGTAGTACTGTAGAAGCAAACTGTTACTGATGACTCAATGTTTGCTTGGTGGTCTCCAAGTTGCTTTCAGTGTCTCTGCTGTATTATATGTAACAATTGTGAGTTTGATAGTTTCTGACACTTTAGAGGAAGGTATTTATTGGAAATCAAAATAATACTTTTTAAAGGAGCCTTTTATTAATTGGACTGTGTGATGCACGCTGATGCTAGCGAAAAAGTATTGAATTGTTTTAAGCCAGGAAGCTGTTATGTTGTTAAAAGACAAGAAAATAAACATATTCGTCTTCCTGGTGTGGATGGATAAGAATACTCCAAAAGAATAATGGAAACAGTGACATAGTAAAACTTTGAATACCACAACTTACTCAGGTTCAGATGTGCTTGTTTACATCATGCACCAGTGGCTGCATACCCCTGTGGTGTACTCAAAAGTTAAGACTTGCCTGTGTGGAATCGTAATACAAGAGAGGTCGGCTTGCTTTTCAGAGTGCATCTGGTTAGTAGACTTACTTGTGCATTTGGTCTTTTGCAGAAGCCTAAAGAGCCTGTTCCAACCCTTGCTCCAAAAACCCTTTCTGTAGCAGCAGCTTTCAATGAAGATGAAGATGTGAGTAATAAGCTAGTGGTCAGGGATTTTCAACCTAGAAACATCTCTTGCAGTTTTTTTTGAGAATGTACAACTTTGTAGCTCTGTGTTGGTTCAAGAAATCATTAATGGGCTGATAACTTTTTCCTGAAAATGAGATGCACCACATAATTCAAATTAATTGTTGCTTTCTCTGGGCTTGATAAAGGGGAGGTGAAAAAAAGTTGTGCTGCTTCTGGTTTGCTAAACATTTTGTTGTCGTGTAACTGCTCTGTCTTACACAGAGGTGAAAAAAGGAATTTGTATTTCTTTCTGCAACCTTGTAGAAACTCTGTTTTGTCCTAAGTCACTTTGCTTTCCTGTGGAGCTGTAGTCCATACTATATCTTGTCAGGCATTTGAAATGTTCAAAAGGTAGCGGCCAGCCACACACTGACCTCCTTTCTCTCTGTAGAGTGAACCAGAAGAAATGCCTCCGGAGGCCAAGATGCGCATGAAGAACATTGGAAGGTAGGTCAGCTTTTAACGATGGTTTGGAGAAGGGCGAGTGTGTGAGAATGCAAGATCTGACCTGTGCTTGAGAAGGTAGATGGTTTAGAAAGATAGGAAGACAGAATAGGTTCAAAAAACGCTTCTCCAGAAAAAAGAAAACCTTAATACAGATATTTCCTAATGTTTCAGCTGTACTTTGAAAGTAGTACATTTGCACTTTGAATCTTATTTGCTACTTTATTTCTGAGGAAGATACTGATTCTGTATTAAATAGAAGCTAGCATTCTTCTTGGAAAGGTTGCAGGTGGGTGTTCTACTTGCTGCTAAACCTCATGTCTTTGTAGTTCTCCATTTTATAAATCTCCCTGAAGTAGGATAGTCTGCTCAGATTTTTAAAATCCTGTGCAAGGAGAAGATGAGAATTACCTCTTTCAGAATGACAAAGAACAGCTTGTTTACTTTTAAAACAAATGCATATAATTCTTCTGCTTGCCACAAATTTGAGTAATGGGCCATTTCTAAAATAAATAGGGACATTTTCAGAGGAGGCTTCACTTAAGTTGGGAATTAATTTTGAGCATATATATTTTAAAGATGTCTATCATGATAGACTGTTTTTAAAGTCAGTCCCCTGCAGGTTTGCTGCTGTTCAGTGCGTTTTTTTTCTCCAGTAGCAAATTTGGATCCTCAGTTCTGTAGCCCTTGTAACAAATTCTTCAGAACTGGCAGCAGTTACTGCCACTCCCACCTCCTCTGCTGCCCCATCCTGTCGCTCTGTCTTGACGTGCTACAGAGAGATCGGTTTTGTGGCCAACTTGCAGTTGCTCCTGGTGAGGACGCCTGATGTAATGGAGAGAAAGGAATGTTTGGTAGTTTCTGGTGGCAGTTTGGACTTGAAACTGGTGTTTTCAGTGTCATGTTGCACAAACTGCTATAGTTGAACTGACTTTCTCAACCGATCTTCTTTCACTTTCCACAGGGATACACCAACCTCAGCAGGACCAAATTCCTTCAATAAAGGAAAGCATGGCTTTTCTGACAACCAGAAGCTATGGGAACGAAATATAAAATCTCATCTTGGAAATGTCCACGACCACGAAAATAACTAAATGATGTGGATGGAGAGTTGGGTGTTTGGGGGGAGGGGAGGGTGTAACGTTAAAGGAACAGTTTCCTTTTTTAAGAATGGTATAAGACTATCTTTGGAGCCACTTTTTTAAGATTTTGAGTGGTACACTAATAACTGAGTTTGAAATTAGAGGTAATTTATGTTTTGTATACAGATTTCGAGGCGTTTGCTAATTTTGTAGTTCCATGTGATTAGTTTCAAAAAGTTACAGATAATAAAGAAATTGGAGTGGTACCTTTTTAAGATTTTTTTTTTTTTTTTTTTGGTCAGCAGTTAAGGTGGATGAAAAAGGTTACTGTCTCTTTAATCAGGGTAACATTGAATGCTCGCGCATTCTCACTTCTGCCTCCCTCTTCATAACAGGAGATACAGTTGACTCCTAGGAGTACTGCTAAAGAGAGTGAGCGTTGTCCTGTGCTAGAAGTGTTACTGGACTATTAATTTGAATATAAACTTACGCAGGAATTAATAAGAACCTGGAATTCTTTTTTCTCCCTGCAGTCCCCTTTTGTTAAGTCTCTGCAAACTAGGAATTACGCTGCTCTGAGTGGCTCTGGTAAATTAGCTCTAATTTTGTTTAAGACTTCATGTAGGATGTGTAACCTTCTGTGGCCTGTTTCATCTTAAGGAAATGGGCCTTGTCTGTATATTAGATACAGTCTGTAAAGAATATTCACTGCAAAGGTAGATTTTCAGTGTGCTCCTCTTAATTCATTAGCGTTGAGTAGTGTTGTTAGCATTTCCTTGTGGTACACAAAAGCCATCACCAAAAAGACAAGCTAATGTACATTAAGCTTCACATTTGGTTGAAATATTTTTCTTTACTATGCCTAGAAGGAATAAAAGCCACACCAAAAATCGGTAACTCACTGCTTAAGTATGAAAAATCTAAGATGCACTTTCCCTGTCTTGCAATTTAAAACAAAATACCTTGATGCCCGTGACCTCAGTGGACACTATCAGGTTAGAGAAGAATCCTGTATTTGCAGTCCTAATGCTTCTAACAAGAGTCACCTTCAGAAATAAAACTTGACTTTTCCTACCTGTCTGCCTTTTGCAATAATTTTCAACAATTACTTTAGTCTGGTCAATTTAATTTCCTGGCTTTCGTACCACAGAGCAGTGCTGTAGGGTTTCAAACCTAGGAAGGACTGTCTAAATTTCAGGCTAATTCAGATTGCTTATTTTTAAAACATTTTACTAGCAGAACTGGTTAAACAAAATTTATCAACAGCAACACTATCACGCCACGCCCCACTACTAAACGTAAGGTTCTTTTTAAACTCAGATACCTGATAGTGTCGACCACTAAATTAATTTCAACCTGGAACTGGCTGTAGAATTCAGTATGTCAGTGGCTTTCATCCTGCCTCTAAAACCTTTCTTCATGCTGAAGTTGAATCTGTGAGTGCAGAAAGGAAAGTGCATCTTGAAGTGTATTCTTTTTAAATTTTATTTTAGGAACGCTCTGACCACTTAGACATTTGAGTTTATAAGTTCTAAAAAATATTTTTTTTGTATTTTTGTATTGTATGTGTAATCTTTTTTCTTTTGAAGTCTGATGCAGTTGAATACCTGTAACTATTTTCTTTAAAAGCCTTGTTATAAACGTTACATAAAAACGTATACATTATTTTTTTTCCATAGCAGAAATCCCTGGTTTATTTAAAACAAAACACACTTTCACAATTGACTTTCAGGACTTTCATAACTGATTTGGGCGCTACTAGAACTAGGCGAGGCAAAATGAAGCATTTGCTTTTCACTTATTTTCATTACATGTGGTTATGTTTGTCAAAATAAATCCCTTTTAAGGTAGTGGTAATTCACGGTGAGTAACTATTTTATCTTGCTCCTTAGTAGTTACTTGATACCGTCTCACTTGCTTGTGTTGGGGGAAAAAGCAAAGCAGAACTTTAAGTAAGAATAAGAGGATGACTGGGGGACCTGTTCTGTTTTAGCTAACCTGCCACCAACAGTGTCTTCCACATCTTTGGCTGAAGTAGACGTGTGTTTCACCAGGATTTCCTGGTACCTCAGAACCCTTTGGGAGATGGCTAGGCAGGACAGCAGACATGCCAGTAAATAGCTCCCACGTAAGTGAGAGCACAAAAGTTATATTTATCCTACTTACTCCCATGGTCGATCACTGTAATCCTAGACCTTGTGAGGGACCGCAGCAGCTTTGAGATCTCAGCTGAAGGTGAGCAGAGATCCCACCTCACTCAGTGTACAAGTTCTCTTCCTTCTTGATGCTTCACACAAGAAAACAGATCAGGATGTCCTAAGTCCAGTCAGGACTGAGCACCCAGTGAGCTTGGCCGTGTAGCTGCGAGAGTGTCTGCTGGTGTTCAGTGTCTGAGCTTTGTGGGAGACTGACCTGGAAAGTATCATCAAGGCGAATGTTAGCTGGAATTGTGCTTGAAATTCGAGGCTTTTGTTACAAGAGTCGTGGTCTTTGCATGAAGATAGTCTTGGGGGTGGATGTCATCTTTTTGTTCTTTTTCTAAGAATATTCAGGAATCCTAAAACTCAATGGTAAACTACCTGATTTAGCTGTCTTAAGTGCTTCCAGGTGATATGCCGAGTCCTTTAGCTGCTAACTGTAGCACCTGTCAGTGGTCGAAATGTCTGTCTGTTGAACTTGTGCGGCTTCTTCTCAGAGGCTTGTGCTTGCCTAGAAGTAAAGCTTTACTTGGCACCCGGGCAGCATGCAGAATGTCGAAGACAAGAGGTGCAGATGTAAGGTTCCCCAGTAACCTTCTCTCTGCTACCCTGCAGCCAGGCTGCTTTAGAACCTGCTGGGTTGTGAAGGGATCCAAACTTACCTAATGCAAACTATACTAAAATAATAATGGTAAAGAAACCACTCCAGTCAACTACTAGTGGCAGTGTTTCAGGGCATCCTGGGTGTAGCCCCACACACCTAATTTCATTCCTATCAAAGCACAGGAGGCGCGCTGCCCCCGTTCTCAGGATCCGTATTTTATCAGCAGAGAGAAGCACCCAGCCAGCCTGTCTGTGCGGTGGCTGGTGGATGCTGTTTTAGCGTCGTGGGCTTACTCTCGTGCCATGGATGACCCAATTACAGTATCCAGCCAACTCTGACAAAACCAGCTACCCTGCTCAGGCCTGCTGCGCTCGATCTCTGCCTCTGCCGCCTTTGTAGCACAGCCCCCTGTCAGAGCCCAGAGGGCTGTGCCGAGTTCTCTCTGCTGGGGAGGCTTTGCCAAAGCTTGCTTTGTGAAGAGACTTGGAGAAAAAGTCAGCTTTTGAGAAGATGGCGGCCTCTCCTTCCTGAAGAGGGAAACTGAGGTTTTAAACTATTGAAAATTGCTGGTGTAACTAGAACTCTTCCTAGGCTGCCGTAAGATAAGATAAATCTATTTGGAGAAGCAACAGAATTTCAAGAAGGCGTTTTACTGGCGTACTTAGTAGCCCTAAAAGGTGTTCTGCAAAAAGAGGTCAGGTTTTTTTCATTCATTATAAAATTACTAGTTGAGGAATGCTGAATAGTTCTGCCCTTACACTACAGAAGGGAAGGTTACATTCTAAAATCATAGAATGGTTTGGGTTGGGAGGGACCTTGAAGGTTATCTGGTTCCAAACCCCCTGCCGTGGCCAGGGACACCCTCCACTAGACCAGGTTGCTCAAAGCCCCATCCAACCTGGCCTTGAACGCTGCCAGGAAGCAGGCAGCCACAGCTGCTCTGGGCAACCTGTGCCAGTGCCTCACCACCCTCACAGTAAATTTCTTCCTTGCATCTAATCTAAACCTGCCCTCTTTCAGTTTGAAGCCATTGCCCCTTGTCCTGTCACTACAGGCCCTTGTAAAAAGTCCTTCTCCGTCATCACCATAATTTCTCTAGTTCTCTGCTGAGAGCCACTAGAACGCCATAACAACTGTACAATTAACAATTTGCTTTTTACTTTATCCTATTAATACCTTCCTTATTTCTTCTGGTTTTATTAATGAAGGGATCTCCTGCTGTTCTCTAATTTTGACATATTGGCATCTGAAAACAACACATAGTGTTGACTTAGGAAAGCTGCCAGTGGTTAATTGATGTGGAGCCATTGATGCATAGTTATCCATAGAATTAAAAGTATGAAACACGGAACTGTTACACTTGAGCTCTGTATGTAGCGTGTTAAATTTCTGTTTAGGAACTTTTTGGGGAGCACTTGAAAGTCTGAAGCGGTGGGAGTCCAGTCCAGATTTAGTTGCCACAGGAAGCCTTGAAACTGTGCAGCGCGAGCTCTCTGCGGCACAGCTACGCGGATGCCAGCGGCCCTCGAGGGTGGGGGGCGGGCAGGGTGGGAGTGATGCCCCCAGCTAGCAGTCAGCGCATGGGGAGCCATGGGGTTTTTTGATTCAGTGGCATAGAGTGAGATCTGAAAGACCTTTGCTCATCAGTTCTGAAATTTGGTTCTTGGGACTGGATTTCCTCATGGGATGGAAACATCAGTAAAGCGTTTGTGGTGCTGTAGCAAGAGCTCCACTGAAACTTGATGTCATGAGCCTATGTTTATGTCTTCTTCGCAGTACAAGCCTTTTAATTTAAGGTAATGCAAGTCATAATAAAAATGTAATCATCTCTCCTTTTCTCCCCCACCTTTCCATAATTTGCACACAGAGTAGGTGCATATAAAGTGCGGGCTGATGCTCCGTAGCTTGCCATCAAATCGTAACGCTGCCTTTGCTTTTGAGAAGGAAGTGTAGCTGTGGCAGCCTGTCACCTTCACACGTACGCCAGCCCCCACCGTGCAGAGCTGCAGGCACCCAACAGAGCAGCGCAGCGCAAGGAGTAATTGTGACACTACCCAGCGTCTTGGGCTGCGCTTGATTTTGGTGACTGAGCTGCTTCTTTAACACAGCCCTGTTCACGTGTGAATTTCACACCGTGACAAGAAGATCTTGAGCTACTACACATCTAAGAGCACTGAGTAAGTTAATCCTGATGTTGCCATCTGTAAGGCAGGGCGCTTTGCCTAAGACAAGAAATACTTTCCCTCAGTACAAAACTTTTCATAGGGGTGCAAGGCAAGCTGTTACTGTCTGGAAAGCCCCTTCAAAGTCACACGAGGTGGGTGAGCACAGTGCCCTGCAGCCCCGCGCCCGAGGGCAGCAATGTGGCAACCTGGGGCCTCTCGCCTTCCCGAGCCTGAACTCCTCTGTGCAAGAACAGGTCTCCATGAAGAACTGCTTGGGAGGTGCAAGGTTCCCAGTGCGCTGTCAGCAGCAGCTGGAAGACTGGCTCTGGCTTGTTATGTATTAAATGTACGCACCGTTCCAGTGCTGTGGAAAGGCGTAGCTCTTCCTTTAACAGCCAGGAATGGCATGGTTCTAGCTCCAGTGGAAACAACGGGGAAAAAATACCCACGCATCACTTTGCTATTTGTCACCTGTAGGTGCATCCCTGTTGACCAGTAGTTGTTCAATGGTAGGCCACATTATTCCTTCCGCACTCGGCCTCTTGCAACCCCCATTTTTATTTAATTCTATATTTCCACTTTGCTTGGGTACCTATAGTGATTCACAGAAGAGTTAACGCGCTGAGAAGCCCCCAGCACTTCCCCTAGGGATCAGCACGAACCATGAAAGGCAGCCGGCCTTTCCACAACGCTGCCGGTGCCCTAAGGTTGCTCCCACAGCCCAGAGCGGGCGGCAGCCACCCGGCTCGCCCAACAGCCAGGGCAGCGGCGCCCGGGGGACAGGGTCACTTTGGGCTGGCGCTGTGGCACAGAAACCCCAGCCAGGAGAAGCAACGTCCAAAACAAACCAAAGTGGTTGCGGCTGGGAATTGGGGGCGGAGGGGATGCCTCGTCCACCACGAGGAGACGTCAGTATAAATACACACCGCGGTTTGTTAATGTCATGCGCTTGCAGAGCCGTGTTCTGGCACAATTTAGGACGGAGTAGGTTTCCCTTCCACACACAAGTCAGTTTTTTGAGCCTTAAGCAAAAATTAAAAAGTAGGTGTTACTAGAACTATTCAGACTAGACATTTATCTACATATGGAAGGTGAAATACTGGAGAGGAATAAGTAACTCTGCAACATTTTTTCCCCTGAAAAATAAAAGGTGCTTGAAAGAGTAATTCATGGCAAAGCTCAGTTTATTTAATGACAGAGATAACTGTAACTTTATACATCTAACACTAAATAAAAACAGCAGAATGTACAAATCAAATTCATTATGTACAGGAATTCACCAGGAATACTTTATAAATGGACAATTCTCATGAGCTTTATTTTGAAAAAATCAAATTAAATATTATCAACCGCATCTTCACAGCCTGACTTTAGTTAGATTGCAGAAGGGCAGTGAACATCTTAAATTAAGAGCTGAAGTCTAAAGAAAAGAGGTAAGGCAACTTCACCCAGCGGGGAACAGCAAAGCTCAGAGCGGCACTCCCTGCTCACCTCCTGCCCCTCTGCAGAGGTAAGGCACAGTACCCCAGGAAAGGGGTGCCGCAGCGTTCAGCTTTGACATTCCTGGCCAAGCCTTGCTTAGGAAGCAACCCTTTTGTGAGTTTTTGTTTGGGGTTTTTTTTTTGTTTTTAAATGGCAGACCATCAAGTCATTTAAAGCATTTTTACAGTGGGTAAAAAAAGCTCCGAAATTCAGATTCACTTCTGTTTCTTCCATAGGCTGGGCAAATAAATAAATGCACCAAACTAAGGTGCTGGTAATATTCTTTCTGTAAGGTAACACACTAAATATACAAACCATGTTCTAGCACTATTTACAGCTGGTTTTCCTTGAACATTTCCTTGCTTTAGTAATACATAATTATTTATAAGATACAAACACTGAAGTAAATGTTAAAGTTTACCAAGTGCTCTGTCAAATCTTTTTCCACCATAATGGCAGTATTTTAACTTCAAGCAGGATGGCTATCTCCAGATTCTTGACCATACAAAGATTCAAGAGTTATAGCTAGCAGTATTTTTATTAATTTTTAAATATTACTTTTAGTTTTACTCCATTTGGTAATTAGAAAAGAATACAGTTGTAAAGGGCTGCAGGATGTATAAATAACTACATTACTTCTCTGCAGGAAGACCACAACTTTGAAATAGCCATCTACAGATTAATTCGAATCCAAGACAGGAACTCAAACTACGTATTGCTTAAAAAATTTTCAACTGCTTATCTACAAGCTTGCAAGATATAAAAAGAACAGTCCATTCTGTAGCTTAGTAGGCAGATACTCAAATAGTTAAATAAGATGAAAGGTAGAAATACTAATTCAAATGAGGTGGTTAGTTTGTCACAGATTTTGCTTAAATTTTGTTCAGTGGATCTGTTTCACAGGTAGCACAGTTACATGCATGTAACTTTACTTCTGAAGTTTACCCAGGCCTCTGGCTCCTTGGATAGCTTGCTGCTGTCAGAGCTGGGAAACATTTGATAATGCCACAGACTGAGGACAATTTAAAGAACACAGTTCTGATTGCTCATGTGCATAGCACATTCAGTTACCTTGACAGGCATGTTTCTTGCTTAAATAAATCCCCCAACCAACCAACAATGAAAGAACCCCCACCTCGTACAGATTAAGATGTGCACTGTTCGTGGTATCAAATCAGAGACATTTAAACTTGGGCCGAGCACGGCTGTGATTCATGCTTACTCGCAGGAAAGCCCAGTAAGATTTTTTCCATCTATGTGGTGTAACACAGGGAATTAGCTTGCCCTGGAAGTATTTTCTTACAGCAGCAGTAATAACGTCTTCCGGAGACTACGATATTTTGAGAAAAAATTAATTTTTACCCCATACTAAGATTTTAAGAGTTCCCTATCCTGATATTGCTATGTGTCCCACTTAGGAATGAGCAGGGATCCTCCTTTCCACAGGACACAAGACAAGATCAGATCGTAACTAGTTGGACCTCTTCAGTGTATTTGTATTCCCAAAGAAGCGTGCTGTTAAGAGATTTTTCATCTGAGAGTTTCTACACCGAATGTAATGCAAAAATAGAAACCTCCATCATTAGGCTGTCGGCTTTGGATACACACAACAGTGCAGGCGATAGCTTCCTTAACACAACCAAACGAAACACGGTTGTGCTCAGAGGCTGAAGCGTGAGCTGCTCGCTTACGAAGAAAAAGCAGTTTACTTCTCTAAGCAGCCTCCCCGCAGTGGGCCGTCCCCTGGTCAGCTTAAATTCACAGTCCACCTCAGAGAACCACCTCCCCCGACTCCAGTGCACCCCCGCCCATCATTTGTAAAACATTTCACAGCGTTTCGCTGGACCTCGGACCTGCCACCCACCAACCTAGAATTAAAGTAGGCTCTTCAAAACTGGGACTCACTAACTGCCGGTGGTGCACCTACCCAAACAAAAACGCCTCCCATCTTCTGTATGCTGCACAAAGCACACACTGCACCAAGCGTTCTGCTATCCCCTTGTCTTGGGGAGTAAACAGACAGGTTAATTTGCTCACAAACTTAATGAAATGCACATAAAAACAAAAGTAAAAAATCGCTACCGGTAGCTGTCCATTTGTAGTTTTTAGTGCAGCCTCTTTATACTTTTTAAATTTTTTAAAAGTTACAGCCTGATACTTACTCCATGACACAGAAAACATTATTCTTCCAACTTTTTTTTCTTTTTCTTTGTTTTACAGTTATGGCCAGTGCAGAGATCTTTGCCTTCAAAGCCCTGGCCCACGCTGAAGCATCTTAACCTTTTCCCCATAGTGCATGGCGCAGTATTTTTGTCACCAGGACATTCAGTGCTGGGATTAACTGTTTGAAAACAGTCATCACCGTAAGCCTCAGGTACCCAGCTAAATACTTAGCTCTCACGGATCGTAAGATGTCACCCTTGTTGCTCTCTCACACTCTACATCCACTCTGTCTTTGTAACTTCTACTTTTACAGTTTCCAGGGCCTGCGTTGCTTCAGCCATTTTCTGTCCTTGCTGCTGCGCCAATACGTAATTTACCACCTGCATGATGCTTTGGTCAGAAAGAGTAGAGACTGACGTACATTCCTCAGTGGCTGCAACCGCTTCAATGGCTTCAAGCGTCTCTCCTGTCACTACCACAGTCTCAATCTCATCCCCACCAACGCTAATCTCTGTTTCTTGTTCCTGCACGTCTGCTGCCAAAATGCTGATGGCGTGCTCCACCTGCGTCCCCTGGTTATGAAACTGAAGAGTATCTTTTTCCAGCATAATTTTGCAGGGTACGTAGTCCCTATGAAACTTGGTCATGTGCTTCCGTAGCGTCCGGGCATCTATGTAAGCTTCGTTGCACACCGGGCAGACGTACGGCCGCTCTCCAGTGTGTGTCCTCACGTGACGCTTCAAGGAACGTGCGTCGGCCCAGGCTACTCCGCAAGTGAGGCATTCAAACGGCTTCACACCTGTTCTCAAAGGGAAAGCGAGGAAAAGATGACCGCCAGCGCTCGTAAATATGCACGAGCAACGACGAGAAGTGACAGGAAGAACAGCAGTATAAAAGAACAAAAGGAATAATTTTTTCCATGCGAGAAAGAGATCTCGTTTATCATTTCCATACTACAATGTAATGCATGCATAATATGTTCAATGGGAAGATTTTCCACAAGCACTCTGCCCAATCTAACATTTCACTTTTAAATTTTTCTTTTCAAAATTCCTTTTAATGCAGTTTCTCCCGTTTCAAGTGCATACCACTTAATAGAATTCTGATTCTTTGTCGCCATTGATGCCTTTCTGAAACCATGTTTTACTTCATCAAATTTGTCACCTACTTTTCTAGTCACCCTTTCTTTCTTTAAATCTTGCTATACAGCTCTCATCAGACCAGCACTTATTCTAGACAGCCTGTAACGCTATCTACAGCTTTTTCCCTCCACCTCCACACCACACATGTTCGAATACTGCACCTGATGTTTGTATAATCTTATTCTCCCTTATAACATCCAAGATCTGTGGTCTGTGGTATCTAATGGGGCGTGTGGGCACCCACAAACACTATTTCAATACTGGCGTTTCCCCTGTAACAGTTACTGTAGATTTAGGCTATTACAGGGCATCTTCTCTGTTTAGAAGCAAACACAAAATCATAGAATGGTTTGGGTTGGAAGGGACCTTAAAGATCATCTGGTTCCAACCCCCCTGCCATGAGCAGGGACATCTTCCACCAGACCAGGCTGCTCACAGCCCCATCCAACCTGGCCTTAAACACTGCCAGGGAGAGGACAGCCACAGCTTCTCTGGGCAGCCTGTTCCAGTGCCTCACCACCCTCATGGTGAAGAATTTCTTCCTAATATCTAATCTAAATCTGCCCTCTTTCAGTTTACAGCCATTCCCCCTTGTCTTGTCACTACGCACCCTTGTGAAAAGTCCCTCTCCATCCTTCCTGTAGCCCCCCCTTCAGGTACTGGAAGGCTGCTATAAGGTCACCCCGGAGCCTTCTCTTCTCCAGGCTGAGAAGCCCCAACTCCCTCAGCCTGTCCTCACAGGAGAGGTACTCCAAAAATCTCAATTTCGGTAGTGATAAAGCTATTAGATTTAATCATAACAGCTCTTTAAAAGGAGACATGCTTCCAAAAAGTGGGTTTTGCCCTCAGATAGGAGTATATGTAGACTCCGACACAGCTGGAACATCCAAATACTCAAAAATCACTATCATACTTCACATCTAAAGTAAAAATGCACATACTTTTTTTTTTTAAACTATAAAATGTTTTCATATTTTCCCCAAACATCATATAGTTAACTGCTTGTTATAAATCATGAAGTTGACCAATTTCCAGCAGCGGTCCTTTTTTCAATTTCAGTTCAATCACTCTTGTGTTTGAAGAGTATTTTGTTAACCATATGCACCTTTCAAACTGGAGAATGTTTTACTACATCAGATTCTTTGCCAGATATACATCTTCTAATCATTTCTAAAAAAGTTCGTCTTCCATTAAAGTTCTGAGAAGGACAAGTTGTCACTGTGCCTGTGTGTGACTGAAGCTCTAGGCAGACCCCAACAGCCACTTCTGGGAATCACTGGAAGCAAGTTAACAAACCAGGACTGGCATAAAACTAACTGGAGTATCTCTAAGGACTTCTGTGCATCTTGCAAAACAGGACATACGTAGACTCAAAGAAACAATGACCCCTTTGTCCATAATGTTTTCAGTGCTTGCAGGATGTCAGGACTACTTGTTTTCTGCGTACCTTCATGATTGTTCATGTGTCTCCTATATTCCCGGAGTTGAGTGAATTTTCTCCCACAATGTTCACAAACTCGTTCCAGATTTTGTTTTGCTCTTCCTTTTTTACCATGTGTGGCTTTCTGTACATGTCTTCTGTACAAGGCTTTCTCATAAAATTCTTTACCACATATATTACACCTAAAATATGTTAAGTGAGAAATCTATTGAAACCACTATTCAATGCTTATGTTATGATTTTTAAACCAAAATGCACTTTAATTACAGTAGGCAAAGTTTAATGGGAATACTGTCTCATATGACAAGCAATCCCATAATTGGCAATAATACTGTTGGACTGAGCTACATTTTCTCTTCTTCACAGCCACAAAGCTTCCACTTGCCATTCCTGAGAAGTGAGATCACATACAAAACATTTCTAACTTCACCAATTATATTTATCCACTTACAACTCCACATATGTTAGTTCCAAGATCGCGCCAGCAGATTAACAGCTGGACCGCACTATCTGAAGTCACCCATCTGCCCCCAAGTACTCAAGACCCCAGCCCACATCACTCAATTGGTACTTTGACGATGGACTAGGCAGTTCCTTGTTGACTGGCTGAGGATCTGTATAACCTCATACTGATTAGTACACTTCAATTGTTGAATGAATTTCCTCTTACCTGTAGGGGTCTGTGACAGAATGAGACTTTACATGAGAATACCAGTCTTTCTTCCAACTGTAACATTTCCCACAGAACTGACACTGAAATGGCTTCACACCTAAATGCTTATTCATATGCTGCCGAAGATCTCGAGCTTCATAAAAACTCTTTTCACACCTGTAACAGTAAAGGTTTTAGAATCCCATATAAGCAAGATCTTGGTGATTCTGATTTCAAAGGCACTGGAACCCTCTTCTTTAATGGCAACTGAAAACTTTGAGAAGACAATACCTATTTTGTCATCGGTATCTATATAAAGCACAATCCCTTTCCAAACTAGGAAAAATTAAAAGGAACAGCAGCTTATCTGAAAGTCTGGAATGTAACTTGAGGACCTCTGAAACACTTTCATCTGTTATGCATAACTTTATTCTTCCCGTAATTTTCTGGGGAATAATCAAAGGCAAACTGACTGGAAGACTTCAGAAATCTCTACTACACCATATGAACTTATGAGGATAGTAACAGCTGTTTCTTTCCTTAATCAAAGAGGATTAATTATTGATACAAAGATAACCGGGACTTGTTGTTTATAATGCTCAAATGCTTTGGGTGCGTGATTTTGGTTTTTTTTTAGAAATTAAAAACCAAATTTAGAATCCTACAAGAAAGCATCTGAAAGTAGTGATACTCATTCTTCAGCTTGCTCCTTGTACATGTCTAAACCCACGTACACTCCTAGTTTTCCTTCACTTATACCTTAGCATAGTATTACTATATAAAATCACAAATCACTAGCTCCTCTTTGTATGAACACTAGAGAGATCAGTCTAATCAAAAACGTGCTTTCTCCCTCTGAAAGAAATTCTGCTCTTCAGGAATCTTTGCCTTATCATCTGCATCTCTCCCTCATATAATATCATATACTTGTGTGACTCAGGAAAGGGCAGAGGCAGAGAAATGCCAGCAAGTAAGGTGGAAGATTCACCTTCTACAGCTAAGCAACCTCTGGAATGAGGGAATCTCAGAATTCCCAGCCTCCAGCGAAAAGACAAAAGCTTCCCTAGAGGAACCAAACTTTTAATATTACATTTCCTGAAGAATGGGCATTCTGGAGAGGAAAAAACCCTTCCTGACTACTGAAGGGGGGGAAGTAGGGGGGAGAGAGAAAAGACTGGACAGGGAAGGTGACGGTCCCAGAGTCACCCAAGAAACCTCCTCCTCCTTGGCTGGAAAAACCTGACAACTGCAGTTCAAATGAAGCTCTCGGGGATCATGGGTTTGCAGATCCACATATAAAAGTACCACAAAGACCCCTAAGGGTCTTGAATGGGGTTGGCACTTGGTGCTCTTCCCTGAAGGACTGCATATTTGGAAAATCCATTACAGAAGTAAAACACAAGCAACCACCACCCTCTGACACTCTCATGCACTACCGCGATTTAATGTGACACCTACTTCACTGGAAAACTTCCACGAACATTTCAGGAAAATAACTCATGTGTTCAGCTTTGCTCCGCTGGGCCAGAAGCTCAGACCAAAGCTTCACAGGGAGATTTACACACTAAGTCAGAAAACTGAAGCCCGGTGATTGCTTAGTGAAGCTCTCTAAACAATTTGTGACAACATTATATTCTTAGTAAAGATTTTTGCTGCAGAATAAACAAGGACTGTGTCTGTTCTGCAGGAGCTGGGGAATCAAAGTATCTTCTCTGTCAAGGTGATCTTTTGCATCCATGGCTATACTGCCTTCAGTAAAAACTTTTATTTTTAAAATAGATGTCTCTTCCAAAACCAAAACTGCTTTCCCTAGTACGTTTGATTAAACAGTTCTGTCCCTGTTGTGGACCCTATTAGCTCTGTTCTTCATATGTCTAGGAACAATATTTTTTAGCATTACAAAGTACTAAATAAAAATGTTGCTGACAGAATTAAAGTGAGTTTTCAGCAGTTAGAAAATACTATTTTTGCTAGCACACAGCAGCACTGCCAGAGATACTTTAAACAATACTTTCGATGATAGCTTTCATTAAAACCATGAGTTGTATACAGGCAAATCATATAAATTATACAACTCCTCTTCATACCTGAGAGAGTTTTCCAGAGACCTAACTGACAGTTTGGAAACTAAGCACCATCTGTGCTTCTGCAGGTCACTTGAAAGATTCTCTCTACAATCTGTTTGGCCAGGGAAAAAGTACCCATGTTTTGCTAACGCACTAGGAGACACGCTCTTTCCAGTTAGAGAGTTTCTGATAAACTAAAGTCATAATGCAGAGATATCGAAGTGATCATGTAAGATTTATAATCAAGTTAACAGCAACAGTCAGTGAGTCTTAATGTATGATGTTCCCGCAGAACTGTTTGCTAAACACAGTGTGTATTGCAGTTCAGACAAGTACGTGACATGGCAGACTGTACAGGAAATTTTGAAGTTAAACTGAAATCAACTACCACACTAAAAGAGGGCAGGAACAGGCTGAAGGCCCTTCACGTCTGACCAGCTTACCATTCTTCTATTTGTCCTACAAGGGAGCTTTAAAACCACATAGCTACTGATTGCAGCTACAAGTGCAAACATGCTCATCAGAAAACAACTGCATGAAACTAGAGCTAGGTAGGTAACAGTTAAAAAAATCAAGCTTTTGCTCTCCAATGCCTGTATTAACAAAAGTGCATTTTTTTTTACTTTTGCGCTTTAAAAGTCTTATTTCAGGCCAGTGAACAGTTTTACGCCACAACAAGGAGCTACTTTTAATCTTTACAATTACTAGGATCATTAACATTAAGAAAAGAAGTCCACCAAAAAATCCCACCAACCAACTTACTGAGTACACTGATATCCACGAACTTCGGGCTTTGGCTGGTGTTTCTTTATGTGCTTACTGAGTCCTGATGCCCTGTGGAAAGATTTTCCACAGATGGAGCAAAGATACTTGGATTCTCCTGACAAAAACAAGACAAAACATGTTACAAAGCCAGGCCTCCATATCTCTGGAGTACTTTGTGAGAGTGTTTTCTTTTTTCTCATATGATTTATGATGAGTAATCAGAGCAGTGCTACAAAGAGAAGTTGGTTTAATTACACACAGATGGAATTTTTAAGTGTATTTCGTATGTGCCAATATAATAATACACAGAGAGGGAAGTAGCAACTCTTAAATTACTTTCTTGCACTTTTTAAGCACAGGTGCAACACTGCAGCTACTAATTACTCATGAAACGTGAACAGCCTAAACAACTGCCCTGTGTGAAAAAAACCCCAGTTGCCTGTGTTCATATAAGATGCAACTTCTCCAGCAACGCAGCATTGCTTACAGATGACCCACGTCTTGAATTTGTGGAACACCACCTTAAAATAAAAGTTTTCTGCTCCAATTCGTCAATTTAGGAGTGCTGAGTACTAATACAAATTTCATCATTTCTGGAACTATGTATTTTATATATATTTTTTATGTCTCTTACTTTTGATTCTGCCTCGGGAAACAAGAAACACATGCAATTTCCACACATTACAATTTTAATACTCTGCTTGTATTAAATTATTATGTTGTCATCTTTCACATGCTAAGATCTTTCAAGATACCAAGTTTTATAAAATTTCAGTATTAGTACAGCAAATCTTGTAGAAAATATGTATGGAGATTCTCAGAGATTTAACTTGGCATGTTTTCCGCTGAAAGGGTAGGCTGGAAGTCTAAGTGCTCCAGAACATTCCAGCCTGTTGCCTATCTTCAATGAATTGGCATGATACAGGCATTAAATACGTACACGAAAACATAAGAACAGACCAACCATGACTCTCCGTTCTTGCATAGAACATTTGCATAATAACATTAAACTGTGGTAAAATAAGCCCAGAAAATAAATGTAAAATTACTATTTACCTCTGTCTCAGCTGCTTAATCAGCAGAAGAAAAAGGAGAAACTACTATTTATTTTCACAAACAGTTCCTTTGACACTGAAGAACAACGGTAAAGTTCAGCAGCATACAATAATAACTAACCAAAGTAAAAGGATCCTCTTTCTCATCACTTACCTGTATGAATGCTCATGTGTTCCTGAAGACTTCTTTTTGTGACAAAAGACTTCTCACACAAGTCACACTTGAACTGTTTCTGTACTTCATGGAGAGCTAAGTGCATTTTTAATCCATGCTTATACGTAAAGGTCTTTCCACAAACCTAAAAAAATCCATATCCAGTGGAATAGGAAAAAAAAACTCAGTATGTAATAGCCGTTTAACTTCAAACAAAACCAAACCTCCTGTGTTTCTTGGGAACCAGGACAGCCAAGCCTGTGGTTTCCCACTAGTGGCAGAACTGGTCTGTTAAAAAAGAATACTCAAGGGAAGAAATTCTAGAAACAGGAATATGAATTTTCATGATTCAACTTCATTCTAGTTTTCTCAGTCTTAGACTACAAGAATTTTCATCAGGAATACTACAGTAGTTTTCCCTATTCTGAACTGACATAAATCAATCTTAGGACAGAGTGTCAATACTAAAATACCACGAAAACATTACCGAATTGATTTCACAGTAAAAGGACTTTCTCTTTACCTTGCACGCATGCGGTTTTACACCCGTATGTTTGAGCATATGTATTCTGAGAGAATAGAGCTTAGGTAGAGTCCTCCCACATATATCACATATGAATTCCCGTTTAGTTCTCCCTTTCACCGAAGACACGCCTGTCTCTTCTACAGTAGCAGCCGCAGCATTCACTTCAGTCTTCCGAGTATGCCGGACAAGATGGGCTCGCAGGGAGGCACCATAATGGAATTCTTTTTTACATAACTATGAAAGAAAATATTCCAACTTTAATTTGCATTTAATACTCCAAAATTATTTTTTAAAAAAACAAGGTAATGAAATGTTTTAAGTACAGTGATATGATTAGCTAGGTCTATAACCTGACTCCAATAGGCATTTTATCTCTGGTTAATTAACAGTTGTAACTTTTGAATTTTGCTGCTACTGACAGAATCACCGATCACGTCCCAATGAGGCTAACTTCCAGGCTAATCTAAACACAGTTGCAAATTTACTGGTAAGGTTAAAACTAAAGGCCACTCCAGCACTGTCCTGAGTAACAAGTGCACTCCCATGTCACATGGTGCTGTCAGCCCATATGACTGCACCACATTTTACACCACTCCATCCCGATGAGAGCTGCAGTCATCTCTGAAATCCATAAGGAAAACAAATACATGTACGAAAAGAGTCAAGAAAAATAATTACTAATGTCATTACTGAATGAATTTTCATACAGAGGGAGGTTTACAGAGGAAAAAAGGGAAAAAAAAACTAAAAACCAAACTTACTGGGCATTTATAATCTTTAGATCTTTCATGTTTCAGTGTGTGCATGATAAGTGCATAGCGCCGCTGGAACACCATTCCACACTCCGTGCATTTGTGCTGAGCTTCTACTTCATTGTTTTCCGAGGTCTCTCTTTTGGGCTGTTTCATTTTTTTTCCTCTTTGTACCAGCTTCATGGCAACCTAAGTTGGAAAAAGGTAACCCATGAATGAACTTTACTACGCTGCACTTTATACTTCCTCTGCAAGTTAGTACTAAAAGCTGATGTTTCTGTGTGTTACTATACTACCACCAAATTTTGCTCAGTTTACTTAGCTGCTAGAAAGTTATTATCCCCTTTCAGTTCACTGCAAAACTACAGATGTCATGGTGGGGTGAAAAAATGGTCATCTTTTAAAACCATAAACTGATTACAGTTATAGGCAGACAATGACTTACCAGTTCAGAGACAACTAACTAGTCAGCCCTAAGTAACTGCCTCAGTAAGAGCTAACAGACAGTTACAGAGGAACCATAAAGTACTGCCAGTCACAATTTCTACCAAACGTTTCCAACCCTTTACTAAACTCCAACCTCCCTTCTCAGGATTTACATTTGCTTTACTACAAAACGTGGCCTAATTAATTTTTACCAGCCAGTAAAACCTGAGTTATTAATAATCTGTAAAAATATTTACAGTATTTAAGCAAAGTTCTTTCTGGTTACAAGCATTCCAGCTTTACTTTTGGTTTTTTTTGTTGTTTTTTTTTTTTTTTTGTTAGGCACTAGTGGTTTTTTTTAGGCAGTATTGGCAGTGCCACCTGGAGCTGATAATCTTGCTTTCCTTTGTAGAAATTTGCTGTCAAATTCTTTAAAAGCCAAACTGTAAGTAAGCAGGCTGAAATTTCCTGTGTCAGGTATCTCCCCTTCAGGTTTCTGAGAATAAGGCAAGGGAAAAAAATACAATGCATCCCCATTTCTTCTTCCTGTTCTCTCAACAAGTGAGCTATCTCGCAGTTTCTGAAAACGTGCTAGCCCTTCCATGTCTCAAAACCAAACTGAAACTCAACACAGGGACAATGTTGGTTTGTTTTTTTTTTTTCCCCACATTTTGCTGTTGCTCTGAAAATTTATGCAAACTTGGCTAAATTCTGAAGCCACAAAAATAATTTTGTTCAGCAGATCATTAGTAAGAGCTTGAAAAATAATCCATTCATACAAAGCACGCTTTATCCCCAACATCTCCATGCCCACTACAATTACTATAATTCAAAAGTAAGCAGCATTTTTCCTGCAACCTCTCTTTCCTGTTATTCTTCCAGCATCAGAACTAGGAACTCAGGAAGAAGCGTCTCGTTCCCAATGCTTACAGAACATTCAGTGCCATGGGGTTGGGGAGGCAAGGAGTTGAGTGATGCACGAGACAAAAATGCTAAAAGCTATGAAATGAGTTAGGAAAGCAGAAACCTATTCCTGAATCCAATTCTAAGAAATTATCTAAACCAAATTCTGCTTTCCATAGGTGGCCGCTGTCTGTAGAGCTCATCTGTCAAGGGGCCAGATTTAAAAACTGCAAAATAAGTTAACAGGGGCTGTTCCTGAAAGTAGATATCGCCCCTCCCAGAACAGAATAAAAACTTGTCATTCTCCAACCATCATAAATAGGTTGCTCAAATATTTTGATTGTGCTGGTTTTAACATCTGGCCTTTAAGTCGTACATCTTAGGAGACTAACCCTACAATTCCTGTCCATGAGGGTGTTGTAACGATAACAAATTATCCCCCTGCATGTGGCTCTAGCATGTAAACGTCTCAGAGAACACCTCTGGAAATTAAGTTCTTCGTAAGATTTAGCCAATGTGGAATGAGTAAGGCAAAGTGTACTCTGTCACAAAAATGAATGCATTAATGCTCGGTGAGGTGAATATCAGCTATCCATAGGCACTGAAAGAGGAAAGTCTCCTGATGGGGAAAGACTAAGACCGTTTCACTATAAAAAAAAAATTAAAAAAATTGAAACAACTAGTTCAATTACTGAACTTTTAATATGTCCGAGTGCTAGACTTTTTAATATTAGTGCTCTTTGAGCATTTTTTTTTCAACTGACCCCAATATGAAGGGAGCAGGACTGCATTATTGTGACTTATGACTATGTCTGAAGATCTATATAGGATGTAAAATTTTTCATCCCCAATGCCCTGTTTTCAAGTCTTAACAAATATAGGGTCTCCCTCCTCTAACAGATGAACACATTTGTCTATGACTGACATGCATACACGCCAGTTAACAATCAAATTCTCAGATCATTAAGAATTTTAGGGAGAAGATACACCTTCTACCCAATCATAAGAAGCTGTGAGAAGATACTCCAGCTGGGCTAAGGTCACTGAGCATTCTAAAGATCTTCAATATGGAACAAATTTTGACACCAATGGATTTTTGGGGGGTTGGTTTTTTATTTTTGTTTTGTTTTTTTTTTTTACACAACTGTCACATCTGAGAAGTTACTTTGGTTTGCAGTAGTGTTAATTGCTCAAAAAACCGAAAAACATTTGCCAGACTGCGCTTGGAATCGGGAAATAGTCTTTTCAGATTGGTCTTGAAACACTGGACGACTACTGACAACAGGCCTAAGGACAGATAGAATACCTGCTGTATTGCAGATTTCGGATTTGTCTTTCTATTTTGCAGTTTTTTTTCAATTCCTTTATGCAATCTGATATATCCCCCTTCACTAACAGAACGCTGACGAAGTTTGCTTTTGTAAGTATCATCTTGGCTGGACGCTAGGCTTTCCGGCTGTGAAACTGAAACGCTCTGTTCTTTACTTTGCCTGCCAGGTTTTTGCTTGAGTGTTTCTGAGGAGTCTTCAGAAGCAGCATCCACATTTGCTTTACCACTTTCACTTTTATCTGCCTCAATTTCCATTTGGCTTTGCATGTCCATGGCTTGCGTGTCCGATGGCTCAGCCTCCATGACAGACACAGTGCTATTCGCAATGCCCTCCAGCAGCTGCACCTTGATGTCATTTTCAGTTGTTTGACACTGCTCCACAGGCTTCGAAAGATCATCCAGAGCGGCCTCTGCAGGCTCTGGGGGCAGGAGGTCAGGCTGGGGTGCCGCTGCCTCCTCTGTCCCAGCAGAGCAAGGAGCTCCATTCACAGCCACTGGCTCTGCACGGGCGGTGAGCTCAGGTTGCCCATCACCATCCACGGGCTGTGCCTCAACTTCAGCCTGCTCTGCTAAACTCTGTGTTGACTCTACTGTTTGAATATCCCCCTTCTGGTACACTGTAATTTGTTTCTCTTCCATCTGTTTGTGCACATTTTCACAGATTTCAAGGACCTCCGACATGAAGAGATGCCGGGCAAGCATGGCCACTTCCGCCATGCTACAGAAGTCAAAAGTTAATTCTGCAGTATAAGCAAATTCCAACAGAGGCAGGAAGCTGGACTTGCAGAACCCTACCAGGAATAAAACACGAGATTAGAGCAAACACTGATGATCCCGAATTACACCAAAACATCCCATGATGGATACAACAGTTCACCTCTGACATAGTTAAGTGTGAAATTTAGAGTGACACACGCTTGCACATAACGTTGAAGCCCCTCCACTGCGACTCAATTAATTATCATTTATGCAAAAGCATCCTCCTTCTGTATTTTCCACGTGGAAGTAAGCTCAGCTAACTTCTCCAGTAAGTAAGCAGAACTGAGGTAGCTTCACAGTAAGAACGTTTCAAGATGCTGGGAGAGCTACAATATTTTTGAAGCAGACTAACCCTAATTGAACCAAAGTCTTTCTGAACCTGCTACATTCAGAAAGTAGTCAGGACTTACTTAAGTGATGTGGCAGAAAAGTAAGACAAAAAAGTGGCTAATAAAAAAATAAAGATATGGATATATTGATAGAAATGCATAAAAATAAGCATTTGGTATAATTTTATACAGTTCTGTAAATCATAAATCAAATATTTAATTTAGAGGACCTTCTGGACCATCACACTAGAAATCTATTGTTCGTGCATGTCTATTCTTCATGCAGGGACAGACTTAGTTAAGAAACTAACGAGAAAGCAACACAGTAGGCATATGTTCTGCACAGTACTCTTCATCACTACAAAGCTATTTTTAGAACATTTATTTTAGGGTCATCTCCTATCTTTAAGGTACCAGAAGGTTTGAGCAGTAAGCAGAAACATGCATAATAGTGTTTCACAGACATAAGAAACAATTGTTTGCTCAGCAAAACAGCTCTCCGAGCAGCTTGTCAACATTCCCTCTTGATGTATATAAAACCATTTGATTATGTTCCCTTTTTTAATGTTTGTGAACAATACAACGAGAAAACATGCCTAAGCAAGGTAAAAATCAATCCAAAGCTTCTCAGAAATTTTAATATTAAATCCTATAGTCCATTCAACATGAAAGACCAGATCATGCAAAACCAGAGTGATCACTTCAGCATTAAAATTCACAGAAAATACTTTTAGATTAAAAAAAGAGAAAAAAAGATAAAATATTTGGTTGTCTTGAATACTCAAAAGACTGAATCAAATACCATACACCTTACTTAGGATATGATTTCTAGCTTTGAAACCCACAACAATTCACCTGACAGATCCACTACAGCTTCATGACTAGAGACAGCTCCCTTTTCAATGAAGAGCTCTCGGAAGTACTCGCTGTTGGCTGCCAAGACAGATTTGTGAGCTCTGTACTCCTCTCCTTCAATCAGCAGAGTCACATCACAGAACTGATTGGAAAGCCTCTGCTGATTCAGTTGGTTTAAGACCGACAGACAATGTTTGGAAGATGACTGCTTCACAAGGCCCTTACTGTCAACCTGTCATAAACAACATTATGAGAACTTCATTACATTTAGACTGCGCCTTTTTAAGCATTCACATTGAAACACAGAAAAGGATTATTTTCTGCAACCGTACAATCAGTTCAAGCCCCTATAATATAAAGCTTAACTTTACTACTGTTTTCTTTCTTTAAATGCATCAAGTCTCACCCTCCCTCCAAACACAGTTAAAATAGACAACTGGAAAAATGGGAAGACTTGGCTATTCAAACAATTCTTTGACCGTGTTTTTCAATGCCACAGTCCAAAATGGTTTCTAGATTCAAAAGTCTTTACACGCGTATGAGCCCCCAGTCATCATCAGAAATTTTATATACAAATACAGCATCATTTATTAATGAACAGATAAAGTTTCCATGAGAATCTTATATGTGATGCTTTACTACTTATACTTGGGCCATTCATTTTCCCTTGGGTCCTATATACATAAATAGGAGTCAGGGTGCTTTTATTTTCCAAAAGCGATACGCTATAATTAATTTCACGTCATATATACCAGTAACTCATTTCTACACTTTGAGTATCTTTGGCAAAATTTATGTTGTCTTATTATTACAAGATTATCACAACAATGGAAAATAACTATGTGACTAAGAATGCATTAACAAACATCTTTAATACATTCAGATGTAAACAAAGGTACTTACAAATACAAGCTCATGCTTCGCTATAGGCTTCTTCTTCATGGGCTTTGGGGACACATCTGGGACTGATGTTGTATTACTCAATTCATCATCTGTTTCATTACTGTCTTCATGAGATTTGGCATCCAGTCCTAGTTCCTCCAGCATTTCAGAAGGATCTGACAGAGATCTAGAGCGATCTAGCTTTTCCTGGCATTTGCTGCATTCTTTAATGTAATCTTTAACCTGCTTAAGAATACCTAAGACAAATTAATGGAGCTTAATTAGGCTTCTATCTTCAATTAACTTACCTTAAACATATCATTAAATATGTAGGTGATTAGCAAAACAATATTACATATTTACTCAGAAAAACGAAGTCCGTCACCTACACTTTCCTTCTCTGGCTTCTTTTTACCAGTTCTGCTTCTCTCACGCCGTTGTATGATATTGTATATCACTACTGTAATACACCGTTAATTTGACATAGGACATTCAGAACATCAGTATATCAAGCAGACCCTCCCAGAAAGATTTTTAAGACTAGAAAAAAAATTTGTATTTATACGTTCACCTTAAAAATGCCAAGACAACGAAAGCTGTAACCCAGTCCTGCATTTAGCCAGCACAAGTGGATCTCAGCTTGTCCTTACTGAAGGGGACAAGGATTGGAAGGCTCACCCAAGGGCTTTTGCAAAACTGGAACCAACTGTGTTATACGCAATGACGTCGATATGTATTGAGAACACAGATTTGAATCGATTGCTTATGATTTCGAGATTTCAAGAAATTAGTCTCCCACCAGTACTTTAACCGGTGTAACTAAATAATTTTAGATACTCAACAGTTCCTAAGCTCAGCCTCCTCTTCTAGGTACCAAGGCATTTTCAGTGTCTGGCTTTCAACCCAAATTCATTTTCTTCACTAGGACAACAGAAAAGCATACATAACAACAGCCATGTCTCCACAGTTCAAAATCTAGCACAGCTCAAAAACTTGGGCGACACGGAGTCAGATTTGCACTGCTCATTTCAGAGCATGAGATGGACTATCACTACTTACATATCTCCGTAAGGATCGGGAAAACAGAGACTTCAGGCAACCTGAGACACTCCAACCCAAGACATTCACACCCACCTCAAACATTTCTACATTTCCTTGATTTAATCTAAAACCAGAGCTAGTTCTCAGGACAGAAGGTTTCTGGTCTTCAAATCCCATATCTAACACCCTTCCTGGCCACGGGGCCACGCTCCAGCCCACTGCTTCCCAGTTACAGAGCAGACACAGGAGACTGGCACTCATCTCAGGACGATGACTGGGTCAAAGCTGCTGTCCACTAGACAAAGCAGCAGAAGAGGATTATAACGGCAGGGGAGACCAATGCTTTCAAGGAGACACAGATAAGAAACAAAACACTTGAACTGAAAGCAGGGCATGAATTTTAGTATTTTCAGTGCAAGAGAAACAAGTGAGTGAATATTGGTTGTGCAAATAAAGGTAACCAAGTAGATCAATAGACACAGAACACAGAACGCCCTCTTCTGACAAAGAGAGGATATACTGAGGTCCATTAACGAAGTTTCCAGCATAGGTTGACAGTAGATGCCAGAACAGTTCAATATCGGGCAGATGATGAGAACCCAGATAAAGGCAAGTCGGCCATCATCCAGAACATATGTGTCAACTTCGAGACACCAAATCCTTCTTCTTCTCAAAGGTTTTCAAGTCAATGAGATCTGGACTGGAAGGATGGACTGCAGCCAGAGCAAAAAGCCTCCAAATCAAGATAGTGAAAACTAAAGCTGAAATGACAGGCGTTACTGACTGATGGACCAAAAAAGGAGCACAAGAGAAGCAATACCAACAGAAACTGGGACCTGGGCAACCGAAAGGGCGGATATTTGCTCAATGGATACATAAGACTAAAAGCAGAACACCAAATCCGAAGGGAACACGGATACTAAAGTCATGGGCTCGGCCCAAAAAAGGCCCCGACCGGGAATGGCCGCCGTTCGCACGCTACCACTTCTAACGGCGGTGACATCGCTCAGAGCCCAGGGGAGAATCAGCACGGTCCGCTCGGCTTCTCCCGGGAACGAAGAGACGAACACAACGACCACGCGCCGCCACC